CGAGGCGGCCCGGCCGAGACCAGCCCCTGGGGGCTGATGGTGTGCGGGGCAAGGCAGGGTTGGGGCTGCGGGGCTGGGGAGCTGCGGGGCTGGGGCTGCGGGGCTGCAGCGAAGATCTGCTTCTCTCCAGTGCCGGCGCAGTGCGATGGACAAATGCCTTCAGCTGCCCTTCAGCTGCCCTTCCCTCGTGGTATATACCTTGTAACATACCCTACTGCTTAGCTTATTCATGCAGCAGTGTTGACACGCTCCTTTAGTTGCTAATTCCTTCCTTTGCCCATCGCCAGGCTGGAGGGTGCTCCCCCATACTCAGTGTGTCCCAGCACAGCGCTATTCCTCCTTCTCGCCTCTCTGCTCTTTTCAGATACGTCTCCACACAACAAGAAACGCCTCGGCTTCACTCCCACCTTCCTTACCCCTGCAGCGGGAGTGGCAGGATGACGCGGTGGTGCCAGCAGGCTGGCAGGAGAGCTGCACAGGGGAGTGCGAGGAACAGCAGCAGGTGCACACGGCTGTGGAGTGGGGATAAAGAGGGAGGCTGAAAGTGGACAGAGCAGGAGGCAAGGATGTGGCATAAAGGAAGAAGGAAGGACATGCAGTGCTACAAGCTCCGTAGAATGAAGTCTCAGTCCAGAATTCATCCCCAGCCTCATGGATGGAGACAATACAGTTGCTGGAGAGCCTAATACATGGACCTAGAGCAGCACTGATGTTGCTCTACTGTCTATTAAGCAGAAGCCCTTCATCACCACGGAGTATTTTTTGAAAGCATAGGCTTAAATGCCTGACACAAAGCATCATGAAAGTCTGCAAACCCATCCCATTTCAATATTGAATTTGTCTGACTACAGCAGGCTAAAAAAAAAAAGGGTATAAAAGGATAGTAAAATTTTTATTTCACCTAAGGGAAAACCATCGATTATTTGTAAGCATTTCTTATGTATTTGGGTTTCTCAAAACATATGACATTTTTTTTTTTAAATTTTCCCTTCTCTGTCAAAAATATATATTAAATAATTTTAACTTCCCATTTTTCACTGCTGATTTAACTAGAAAGGAGTCTCTAGCTCTGATGCTGATCAAACCTACGGGAGGAGGATCTTGTTTATAGCATTATATATTCATTAGCATCAGATTTGTGAGGGTCATATTCTGTTCCTGTTCTACATCTGCTTATTCTTGTGGTTATTGACCATGAATGCAAACTCTGCCTGGCAAGAAGAGCATGCTACACAATATAGTAAAACAGAAGAGAACCAGTTCACCATGTATAGAAACAGAAACTTAAGCCCATATTTAGATGACCTTAGCCAGTACACACAGAGGGCACTGCAATTTTTCCAGTTTTTATTTCTACACTCAGTTTATCAGAGTATGTTACAGATCAAAGGGGATTTTGTGCTCAAGCACACCTCCTTTAAGGGATTTTCAAAAGGTACAATGCTTATCTGCTGTCTGGAAGGGACTACGTAACCTTCTAATTGTCATTTCAATAAAAACAATTAAGTGTTAGATATTGCCTTTTCACTCTTGTGTATTCTCTAAAGTACAAACTCCAGCTTACCTTTTTGGAGGTTGATATCTTGGATAAGTGTAAAAAAAGAAGTGATTATTTGATACTGTGTTTTCAAGAAACTTCATAAAAACAAACAACATTTTGTAAGGAAGTTTCTTACAAAAATGTATGACTAATTTTTTTATACAGTATCAGCAAGTAAACTCCAACCATTAAAATATTTGTCCTGCTTACTTTACATAAATCAATAAAATTCTAAGCATACATAATACAGAGAAGCTGCCAACATTGTCAATTTTGCTTTAGTTTCCCTAACTTGTACAAATTCCAAGTAATGGGGCAGGGGAAGTAGAAAGAAATCCCTGCTGCTTAATTCAGCTTCCATATTTTGCTTCTAACATACATCAGGAGACTCACTGTTTTTATGAAATTATATGGATTATTGAAAATCAAGATTCATGGGCAATTAAAATATATAATGCAAGTGAAATTTGAGCTCTAAACCACATCCTTTCATATTTATGTTGACACTTCTGGGTTTGATCATGCCACTTTTTAAAAAAAAATAAATGTGTCTAACGTAAGGTTTAAAACTGAGGTTTCAGAAGAAACTTCACTTTTTCAAATACACAAATCGAAGCACCATTTGTTCAAGTCAAGGCATATCTCCATTCTCGGTGGAGATTTACTTCCCATGTCCACTAGTAGGAATTCCACTCAGGCAACCAAGAGGAAAAAGTTCCCAAAGGGCTTTCAGATGGGGGAGGGAAGATGCAGATTGTCTTCTTTCTATCTCTGCTCAGGACTCCACCACAACACAGAGAGTAATTGGGCCCTAAGGCAACACAAAGAAACTTTACTCTCTCTTTTTCCTCCTAAGCCTTCTTGCAGCTGCCTTAAGAAGAGCCGTAAGTTGGCTCATTATTCTTTATTGGAACAGGTGTTTGGGATGGCAGCTGCCAAGGAGTCATCCTTGCCTCTGGAGCTTGCACCTCTCAGTGAGGTGATCACACAGTGAACAGGCCAAAGCAAAGTAGCTGGGCAGTCTGGCTAAGAGTCAGCTGGTCCCTGTAGGGAGGAGAAGAGAAGCAAGGTGTCCTTAAGAACATATACTTTAAGTACCTCTTTGCAGGTAGATGTAATGCAGCTTTTTTGTTTGTTGGTTGCTTTGGTTTTGTTTTCCCCCACTCCTTTTGACGCTGCCAGCAGCATTTTTTTCCCAAGGAATACACATTTCTTCTCCTGTGCTCCTCATTCAGCTCCTTGGAATGATCCAAGATGTGTGCTGTGGATTTTTATCACGACACTTCTGCCACAAATGCCATGAAGATCTGAAACCACGGGTCTGGAGCGGGGCCCGGAGAGGACACGTGGAGCTTTGTCCTTGCTCTCAGCTGTTCATGCACGGAAGGCCTGAGCAAGGGTGGTCAGCACCAGGCCTTTTTTAAGGACTGGTATTTTTTTCCATGTGTGGGAAGGACGGAAACAATTTACCTGACTGAGATGTGCTGTGGCAAGTCTGCACGAACGCCCAACAGCTGGCAACGGGATCCCTTTGAAGGTTCACAGCAAGAACACACACCAAAACCCAACATACCGAATGGGTCAGCATTATAACCTGCTCAAAACTGGTACTGTGTGATCAGAGACCCTTACTTTTAAAGGCAACTCAAGGGCTGGTCTACACATCTGACCAAAAGCCAGTATTTTTCATTGCTCCTGTGTGAAGACACACCGAGCGGTGGGTAAAGCCGGCTGGTGGCACGGGGAGAACAGGGTGCCTGAGGGCGGGAGGCGGCTCCTCACAGCACCTCAGGGCCCCTCAGAGCTCCTCACGGCCCCTCACGGCTCCTCAGAGCTCCTCACGGCCCCTCACAGCTCCTCAGAGCTCCTCAGGGCCCCTCAGAGCTCCTCACGGCCCCTCACAGCACCTCAGAGCTCCTCACGGCCCCTCACAGCTCCTCAGAGCTCCTCACGGCCCCTCACGGCTCCTCAGAGCTCCTCACGGCCCCTCACAGCTCCTCACGGCCCCTCACAGCTCCTCAGAGCTCCTCACGGCCCCTCATAGCACCTCACACCACCTCAGAGCACCTCACAGCTCCTCAGAGCTCCTCACGGCCCCTCACGGCTCCTCAGAGCTCGTCACGGCCCCTCACAGCACCTCAGAGCACCTCACGGCTCCTCAGAGCTCCTCACGGCCCCTCACAGCTCCTCAGAGCTCCT